AGTGATGAAATTTCCCAACAGGTTCTAATCTGTTTTTTATATAGATTATGTAATTTATTGAATGATTTATTGATATTAGGAGTAGTCGTATTAAAGTCTAGTTTGGTGTTAGAGAATACATTTTCTGCATCTCTACACCAAACACTGCTTTCCAACTATATATCCATGGACTTATACCAATATTTACGATCTTCGGCACCTAGGACTCCTGTAATATATACGCTACCAAAGATTCATAAAAATAAGGACAGACCCCCTGGCTGACCTATTGCATCAGCAGTTGGGGGCGTCCTTGAACCTTTAGCCAAATGGTTGGACTTTTTGTTCAAGGAACCGATTGAACATCTATCAACATGTATAAAAGACACTCCAAGTTTTGTCAAACTATTGTCGGAGATTGTATTACCTTCTGAATCGGTGGTTCTGGTGACATGTGATGTGTCAAGCTTATATACTGTGATACCCCACCAAGAAGGAATTGAAGCAATGAGATCGATATTATCCAGTTCCATATACTATTCAGGACCGCCAATTGAGTTCATATTAGAACTTTTGGAAATAGTACTCTCTCAAAATTACTTCAGGTTCGAGATGGATTGGTATAGACAAATTGCAGGAACATCAATGGGTGCAGCCATGGCACCTATGTATGCCAATGGCTATATGTATTGTTATGAAACCAAATACATTTTGGAACCCTATAAGGATTGTATCCTGCAATACGTTAGATACATCGATGATATTTTTATGTTGTTCAAGGGCTCTATAGCCAAAGCAGAGGACATGATCCGGTGTATTAATGTTTGCACTAATTACATTAAGTTGACAGCGGTGATGGATTTAACATCAGTTGACTTCTTGGATATTAGAGTTTTGCGTGAAGGGTCAGATTTGGCCTATACGCTATACTCCAAGCCCACGGACCGCAATACTATCCTGCAGGCTAACAGTTTCCATCCGCAGCCCCTGAAAGATTCTCTGCCTTACTCACAGTTTTTGCGAGTTTTAAGGAACAACTCCGATTCAAATCGAGCACAAGAACAATTACGCATGATGTGGGACAAATTTCGACAACGGGGGTATACCAGTCATGTTCTAACAAAAGCACTTAATAGGTGTTTCACTATTGCCGAAACTCCCATTCCTAAAACATCATCTAACAGATTGATATTTCCTACCATTTTTTCTACAGCTTCCTCTAAATTTAAACAAATTATTGAGGAGAACTGGAGGGTGTTAAAAAATGATGTTACATTACCTCCAGTATTTCAGGATCCTCCTATGTTTTGTTACAAGAGGAACAAAAATTTGAGAGATTTGCTGGTGAACACTGACCCCTTTCATTGTTATTCCAAGGAAACATCTCCACAAAATTTAGGATGTTATCGCTGCCTTGGATGTGTTACCTGTGGACATATGATCCCTGGCAAGACATTCTCCCATCCCCATACAGGTACCAGTTTTTGCATCCGACATCGATTAACCTGCACAAGCGATTTTGTAATCTATAAATTAACGGCCCCTGTGGATTAACATACATTGGAAAAACGGATTTACCCTTGAGAGAAAGAATTCGTAACCACAGATCTAGTATAAGAACTGCCTACAGGGACAATAAGTCAGAGTTACCGGTAGCCAAGCATTTTTTGGAATTGGGGCATTCTCTGCCCTCCATTATGTCTCCTTAGGATGTTATGGAATTTCATGTATGTGTATAGCCTTCTTTTACATGGCGTTCGTATCAGGAGTTGGGATAAGGTTTTGCATTATCATATAAAGTTATACATAGTTCCAACTTAATGTTTGCTGTATCTGCTAGTTGGAATAAATAGTTATTGTACCAGTAATTTATTCTAGGTTCTATTACTATTTCCTTTTTCCCTCTTTTGTACATTTTTACTGTCAATTTTCCTTTCTGTTCTCATGTGCCATGGGGATCTCCCTTACTATAGAGTATGATTATGTACTGTCTGTAGAAAATATGATGGACTTTATAACAATTTATGTTATCTTTATGTTTGATTTCTATGTTTGATTTATTCTATGAACATTATGGTTCCCCAGTTCATTTGTGCCTGTTTTTATTATTATTATTATTATTATTATTATTTTTGGTTGCTAGGAAGCTGCTTTCCCTAGCAACATGCTCCCAATGATGCCGCCGGCTGGTCGCTCACGTGATGACGTCACTGACGTACGTCCTGATGCCGGCCGAACCCACGTGGACTCCAGACCGAGCTGACAGGGAGACACAATCAATTTGGTGGTGGGTAAGTTGATTACTAATATGTATTTTACTATATATTGAAGATTTGAACTTTTATGTATTAATCCTGATGAAAGTCTGTGGTTAACAGACTGAAATGTTGATCTTTTTTGTACAAGCTCATTAAAAGTTAAGTTTTATTTTTCTACAGTCCTGAGAGTGCTATCTCATTCCTCTTTTTTCTTTTTTAAATATATATATATATATATATATATATATACGTATATTATTATTTATTTTTATTTAATAACATTTTTTATTTGTTTATTTTACAGATGCACGGAGACTGTCTATCAGTTTAGGCAGTCCCCCTGCAGGCAGAACTATAGACGCATATTGCGGCCATGTGACTGCTCTTTCAGAGCAATCACATGGTCCGCGGGGACCTAATTTGCTGAGGGGGGTGCTGTCTGGGCTGTAAAGCAGCCCCCCCAGACCGGGAGCAACACTGATCACCAGTGGAGGAACGGCGGCGATCAGGTACATCCATGGTCCTTAAGAGGTTAAGCTAAAGTAGATTTGGTGACTATAGTGTCCCTTTAATAAATTGACTCCTTGTGTCTGTCTTGTCCTGGAGCTGATAGTGTGACTAAAGTCCCATATTTCTTTATACTTGGGAGAATTTCATTCATCTTCGGAAAATCTGCAAACACTATTTTTCTGCATGCTTGTACTGGTTGTTTATTTTGTATATACTGAGGTGATTTTTTTAAAGTTTCAGATAGTGTTTCCTCATAACTACTTTTTATGGTCCTGAGGCGAGCAGCAGAGGTGCTAATTTATGTTGGTGTTTAACCCCTTTCACTATCAAGTGGTTTGCATAAAAATCACCCCCAGAGTCTGTATATTTTGGGTGTCCTGGGAGGTAATGTTTAAATTTACTTTTCATTTCACTATGCAAAGAAAGCACATTATTTAATGGATGAGCTATGATAACAAACTGACTGTCAGATATCATAATTTTACCATTATAAAGGAAACGTTTATTTTCTGGTTTTCTGTTTTATTTATGAATGTTTATGTTTATGTTAGGCATCCTCTTAACCCCATTAAAAAAATGTTCAGCCTTTTATATGCATATAAAGTGTCTGGTGTATTTTGCAAATGTCTCTATCATATGGTATAACATGTATGTGTTGAGTGTTTGGAGCTAAGAGAAGCCTTATTGTCCATGTAATGTGCTGTGAGCATTTTTGCCGTTCACTGCTCGGTCTATTTTATATTTAGGAAAAGTTGGATTTGTACCGAGACAGTTGGTATACCAGATCCTTCTTTCACTCTACTTACCCTCTATGCCTCTTACTGGACAAGTCATGGGAATTTTTGTTGTCTATGTTAAATGTTTTCTGTTCACTAAACAAATCCCAGATATTTTGTGTGTGTATATATGTATATGTGTGTGTATATATATATATATATATGATTGCATGTATAATATGTTACATTGCAAGACAAGTCGTTAAACTTATGATCCCTTGCTTATTATGTTTTTTTGAGATTGATTAAAGAGATTATATATTATTATAAATAATTTATATTCCATTGTTTTTTATTAGTCCAGCTGCTCTACACCCCAAAATATGTGAGTTTTTTATTGTTACATACTTTCCCACCATATTTTTGCATTTGTTACACTATCAGTGGTATTTATCCATATTTTATGAAAATTAATATTAAACCTACTATAGTAGATAACTACACATTATAGACCGTTTTGGAGAATACAACGTTCCCCCCATTTTTTGGTAAGACAAAATCTACCTAGATCCATCAAGTTCAAAACCTCCAGGAACTGTGTTTTGTTAGAATCTATGAATGTTTAGATTGATGGCTTGTAGAGAGATACTCTAGTTACAAGATTTGAATTCAAATGTAGAAAGTCTATGAAGTCTACCAGTTGTATAACTAGATCTTTCAGATTTGCATTTATCCAAAACCAGCCCAATAAGAGACCATGACAAGCCGGCCAGGCTGAGGGACTTGTCTTGTTTATGTAGAGGAGACACATAATAACTTCCATCTCTTCAATGAAGGGGAATTTCACCTGTTGCTGAGATCTGTGGAAAGGATATAAATGTTTTATTAATAAGGTTCTCGACCATAAACAAACGATATTTACTTGGGACAAGGTTGGACCTTAAAAACAAACATTACCAGGGAGAGATCTAATTATGGATATAAATTACAAAATAACAATCTGTGTCTTGGTGCTTGAGGCAAGTCTTGGGATTTTCCTAAATTGTTTTATATGTTTTGTCAATTTCCTGGATTTTATGAAAAAAAAACATATAAGCAGCAACAGTAAGATACTCTTTGCCCTGGGTATTGTCAGCATGGCCAATGCTATCTGCTTTCTTATCGGTATAATTGTACAAGGTGTAAAATTAGTTAACGATGACTTCATTCTTAGTTATATGTTAATGTTCACTTATACGTCTACTTCTTGGCTGACTGCCTGTCTGTGTTTCCTCTATTTTATTAAAATAATAAACTTCAGGGTGGGTTTTCTGGCTCGGATTAAATTGCAGATAGATGTTACGGTGCCCTGGCTGATCGTGGTCGTAGAAGTGGTTTCTTTTTGTACCAGTTTCCTTTTCCTATTGGCATGTCATGATGGTGAAGATCAAGCAATATTCAAAAACACATCGAATATCCTTTCAGCCAACCCAACATCTGGAAGAAATATGAACATTTCAATGTACTTTAACATTGTATTGTTTAATACCTGTCCACCATTCCTCATCATGATTATCACTACATTCTGTACCATTGGGTTCCTCAGGCTGCATGTTCGTACTATGAAGAAGACAGATGGGACATTTGGCAACACCAACCAGGAATCTCATCAAACTGCTGCAAATACAATGATAAGATTTCTAGTATTTTATTTGATGTTTTATTTAAACACGGTTGTATTTACTTTTGGAAGTACTACCTTGAATTCTTTTTGGTATCATATAGAAGTTGTGTTAGCATTTTCATTTACTCCTGTTCAATCTTTTCTTCTGATTCTAGCCAACGTCAGGCTGAAGGAAGCTTGCCACCAGCTATACCTATTAATATCACCTACAAAACTACTGAATGTGTTGACAGTTTGTAAAAATAACAATAATATGTAACTGAGATAAATATCTCCAGTGAACTGATTCTCTACAGGTTTGTGTTTTCCTTTTTCAAGCTATCAAATGTATTTATCTGTGTCATCTGATGTCTGAATGTCTCCTAAGTAAGGATGCCTCATATTTGCTGCTCAGTGATGTAAAAGTCTAGCCCTTAATTGTCTCAGTTTTTTTTTTTTAAATCACGATTGCCTGGTCCTCACATTGCTCGATTATTGAGGCTGCCTGGTTTGTTATAGCTTATGAATAACCTTGTCTTGCAGCCGCAGTTAGTACAGGAGTCCAAAGTAGCCTGTTTGGTTATTCTCCTCCATTACTGATTTCTGACACCACATTTTAACACAATGACTTAATCTTTATGATATTTTCAGTTATATGCTATAACTGTGGTGAGATTTGTGTAAAAATGTCTCCAGTCAAATATCAGGCAAATGGTAACCAAATGTTATTTTATAAGAAATAAAAAAACAGTGCTACGGTAGGAAGAGATTGTTGGGGGATTTAGGTTAGAGTCTTGTGGGGGCTGTACGTAATGTTAGGGTGACCTTGGGGACTTGGAGTTATGGGTACAATTACCCTAGTCTTTTTAAAGGGAATTGGATTAAACAAATTAGAGAGAATTTGGTTACAGTTCAGCTGTGAATAGTGAAAATAGGAACGGTATACAGACATGTGGCTGAATTTAATGGCCAACTAAATTGTAACCAAATGGTAATACAAATACAATATTTGAAGGGACACTATAGTCACTAAAACAACTTGGGAATACAGTTTAGCAATACCCATTAGGTAACCCTTGGTGCATGGGCCACCCAATGGACCCCCAATGTATGTGGTAGTTCTGCCACAGGCCATATGGCGAAGCAAACCAATTTTCCAACACTTTATAACACCTGTACATGGGGGGAGTTCAGTGAACACAAATAGTAGTCTCTTATAGCAGTAAAACATATAATGACACCAGCAAAGTTTATTGTATGTGTAGAAGCCGTATAAAGGGTTAAATGTGAAAGGGTTTATAAAATACCCCTTCCTGTCTTACTGGAGATTCTTGGTTGATATCAGCATATCTAATGGCTAGTGTAGGACTCACCTTTTGAGGCTTGCCTTGACATGGCAGGTGAGCTTATATTTTCAAATGGCCATTGGAATAAAACTAAAGAGCCTCCATTTTGTTTGAATGTACATAGGGATTTAGGCCAGAGCGCAGGTAACGTTCTCATTGTTTTTACTATGTATTTTGAGCTGTTGGATACTAAGCTACTGCTGCTGTAAGCGCGGTGCTTTATATTTGTGTTTGTATATAATGACAATGATAACATCAGTAACAATACAGTTTTTGTGTGAAAAATGAAAATAAAACAAGTATGAACTCTAAACTTGGCCAATGTTTGTGACTAGGTGGCTACCAGAAATCACTGGACACATAACTTTTTGAATGCTCTCTACGTTTACAAATGGTGTGCCATATTGGGATAATTTCCGCTCATATGGTCTCAAAGACAACGTAGGCAAAGCAAAGAAATCTGGCAAAAAAATGTGGGCAAGCTCTTTTTGTGACCCTGTAACTTTACAAAACACCATGAAACCTATACATGAGTGGCATGTTTGTGCTCAAGGGACATTGCAGCATACAAAAATATGTGTTTTGCTGCAGTAAAAGCTAACCCTATTATGACATTTACAGTTAAAATGCCATGCATTATTCGAAAAATAAGAACATTTCATTATTTCTCACACATTTCCACATTTCATTTATATTAAATAAGTTTTCATAGATAAATATTTGATATGAAACAAAATCCGTATTTCTCCTGAACAAAGTAAAATATCATTAGTGTGGGTGCCCTTAATATCATGAACAAATGAAACAAATTCTAGGTTTTGTTTTGGTCTGAACATGAACAATTTCCTCTGTTCTTAAGGGGTAAATGTCTCATAAAACTCGCATCATCTAGTAATAAGCAAGCCATCTGGTAATAAACATGTAGGCAACCTTAAAGGACCACTATAGTTCCAGGAAAACATACTCTTTTTCCTGGCACTATAGTGCCCTGAGGGTGCCCCCACCCTCAGGGTCCCCCTCCCGCCCAGCTCTGGAAAGGGGAAAAGGGGTAAAACGTACCTTTTTCCAGCGCTGGGCGGGGAGCTCTCTGCCTCCGATCCTCCTCCGTTCCTCCCCGTCGGCTGGATGCGCACACGCGGCAAGAGCTGCACGCGCATTCAGTCGGTCGCATAGGAAAGCATTTTCAATGCTTTCCTATGGACGCTTGCGTGCTCTCACTGTGATTTTCACAGTGAGAATCACGCAAGCACCTCTAGCGGCTGTCAATGAGACAGCCGCTAGAGCATTTGGGGGAAGGCTTAACCCATTCATAAACATAGCAGTTTCTCTGAAACTGCTATGTTTATAAAAAAATGGGTTAACTCTAGCTGAACCTGGCACCCAGACCACTTCATTAAGCTGAAGTGGTCTGGGTGCCTAGAGTGGTCCTTTAAGCATTCCAGATGTTGTGAACTACATCTCCCTTGATGCTTTGCCAGCTTTTAAGAATATCTTAGGAAGAAATTAGATGGAGTGTGTTTTTGTTTTTAAAAACCCTCATCCCAAATGGGCTAAATGCGGATTTTGACCTTTTTAACTTTTTGTAATACCTCATCTGCATTAATTTTAATTCACACTTATTTCTTTATTTCTTCTTAATCTGCCACACTTAAGCTTCATTGTTCCACCCTTTGGTTTCTAGCTTTAACTGTCCAGCATTTCTATAATTGTGCGGTGTGAGTATCGAGAGCCTTCTCACACTTTGCAAGGTAATTACTCTCTCTTACCGTAAGCAGGTAACCATACACATAAAGGGAATCAACACAGTAAAGGAGGAGACTGTATTTAAAAGAAGAAAAACTACCACAACAAGAGGCCATAGTCTTAAAGGACCACTATAGTGCCAGGAAAAAATACTTGTTTTCCTGGCACTATAGTGCCCTGAGGGTGCTCCCACCCTCAGGGACCCCTTCGGCCGGGCTCTGGGGAGAGGAAGGGGTTAAAATCTTACCTTTCTCCAGCGCCGGGCGGGGAGCTCTCCTCCTCCTCTCCGCCTCCTCTCCTCCTCTTCGGCTGAATGCTTATGCGCGGCAGGAGCTGCGCGCGCATTCAGACAGTCTCATAGGAAAGCATTTATAATGCTTTCCTATGGACGCTTGCGTGCTCTCACTGTGATTTTCACAGTGAGAATCACGCAAGCGCCTCTAGCGGCTGTCAATGAGACAGCCGCTAGAGGATTTGGGGGAAGGCTTAACCCATTCATAAACATAGCAGTTTCTCTGAAACTGCTATATTTATAAAAAAATGGGTTAACCCTAGCTGGACCTGGCACCCAAACCACTTCATTAAGCTGAAGTGGTCTGGGTGCCTAGAGTGGTCCTTTAAGCATTCCAGATGTTGTGAACTACATCTCCCTTGATGCTTTGCCAGCTTTTAAGAATATCTTAGGAAGAAATTAGATGGGGTGTGTTTTTGTTTTTAAAGACCCTCATCCCAGATGGGCTAAATGCGGATTTTGACCTTTTTAACTTTTTGTAATACCTCATCTGCTTTTCAATGTCAAATATTTTTATCTCCCTTTCTGATATATTTTATGAAAAATGACTGGGATATAGCAATACCGGAGTACTCTTATATAGAAAAGACAGAGACGTCAAGAAGCATGGAGGGGTGGCCCTTTATATGATGGATAGCATAAGATCTGTCAGTATATTTATACTGGCAGACATTTTGTGTTAAGACAGAAATTAAAACTGTATACTGTAAGTCACCATCAGAACAGAGGTGACTCAGTTTTGTAACAGAATACAAAGACAGACACACATTGTTTTCTCTCTGTAACCCTATTCATTCAAGCCTGAAGCTAAGGAATGCGATTTACGTAAACATTAGAGATAAAACCTGAGATAAGGCAGGATGTCTACAGCAAAAGGGGGGTTGAATGCCACAACCCAGAGACAAATAAATAAATATATATATACACAGACACACATATAACTTACTATTATTATATTAATCATATATAATTAGTACTATGTTAATAATATAGAATATTTGTGTTCGGGCCATTCTCATATGATATAGAATAAGATGGGTTGTAGAGATGTAGCTTTAGGAATAGTCAGTTGAACAATGGGAGTGGAGGGTGGGGCTATTCGTCTGACCACCACAGTTAAGTTGGGAAAGGGGGGAGTCCCTTTTATAGGCCTATAACCCCTCCCACAACTTCAGGCCATGCCTTCCAATTTGTGTTCGGGGAATTCTCATATGATATAGAATAAGATGGATTGTTGAGATGTAGCTAAAGGAATAGTCGGTTGAGGTGTGCCGAAACCGACATATGCTGTAGGCCGGTAAAAAGTGGGCAAAAAGAGACATATTAATGCAAAACATTATACAGTATCATAGTGCATTTGTTAAGTAAGGTTCAGGGTACATTTATTGGGACACATGGTTTTTGCATGTGCCCTGACATATTGAGAACATATCTGCAACAGTCTGCATGCACTGAAACTACATGTGCCAAGATGGAAATTGTTGCAAATCTGGGATTCTAGCTGGAATGTTAGGTAGAGAGAAATCCTTACCACCTGCTTGATACATACTAAAAACCATGAAGATAGCCATTATTATATGAACCCACAGTGTGCTAGTACTGGCTTGCTAGCTAAAGCCGCATGGCAAAACAAATAATCATTTGCTTGATGAAAGGTGAGGCCCTGCTAGTTGCCAAGTGGCTTGAGAGACTCTATCTATGCAATGGCGCTAGGGG